AACAACTTAAATTAAGATTTCAACAAGGTAAATCATTTGAACTCATAAATGACTTCAGATTAAATCAAACTTATTTATATTATCTCCGATAAATACATATATATCTTATTCATTTATTTAGGTGCACAACAATGTTCTCGTCCATTATTAGCCGTTCTTTATAGTACACTTCCACAAGTATCATCAGTCGATGCATTTGTTTTATTTCTTCAATCATTGAATCCTAAATATCCGCATTTATTTCCAGTTACAACAAATTTTGCTAATTTAGCTAGTCGTTTACTATGTCATATAGCTGGACTTGGTCATTGGACAGTTCTTGGTCTTGCAACACATATATTTGCACCTGAAAGTCGATTAGAATCATTAGTACGTTTTTGTCATGCATGTATTGATATGAATGAACAACCTACACCAACATTTTTATCTTCAACACAAACAAGTATTGGTCTTGGACAATCATCAACATGGTTTACACAATTAACAACAGAATTACTTCTATGTGTCTTTCGACAAGTATCATCGCATACAGATATACGTTCGATTTTTCATTTACTTGGTCCACAAAATGAATTTTATCGTCGTTTTGAACGATTATTTGCTTTACTTGATGAACAACCATCACCAATACCATTCGATTGGTCACTTGTTATGTATACAGATCGTTGTTATCGTTCAATCATGCCATTAATTGAACAGTTGATAAAACATGATCGATTTGATTTAGTTGACGAAATAATAGAATGTGTTGATATTGAAATTGATATGACTTTATTTGAACGTTTTAAATGTTCATTTGATGAATATCAACATGATTTAGATACAGATGACAAAGAATTAAATGAAGCATTTGATACAATATGTCAAGGACATCATGATGTATTAAAACGTTTAAAAAAACCATTACTTTATGGAGATTTTCTTTTATCAATACGTTCAACATCATCAAAATTAGTTCATTTATTATTAATTATATTTGCTAATCAAGCACAACATTTACCTGTGTCATATGATTATTCTTACTCTATTCAAACACCTCAACGACAACCAATTATGGAAAAATTATGGACAGCATTAATTACTTTTATAGCTGATTATCATGATAGACCGATTGTGAATAAAATACTTGATTATATGGTTACTTTGTTTTCTGATTCCGTATTAGATCAATTAGCAGATAAAACATTAATACCAATAGATTTTGATGATTATTTACGTGCATTTGATGATAATGAAGTAGAAGAAGAAGAAGTAGTTGAAGAATATAAAAAATCAACAGTTGTTGCTGAAAATGCATTTGAAGCACTTCTTTTAAAAGATGTCTTCACCAAAGATAAAGGTCCATCAACAACAGAGATAATTTCAACAGGTATAATTTATATTAAATATTAGTAATCTAAAACAACAGAATTCTTATTTTTTTTAAGATAAAAATTCTTTGACACCATCAAATCGTCGTCAATCTAGTCGTGGATCTTCGTCGTCACAATTACCATCTTTTGGTCCAGCATTAAGTCGTCGTTCATCAATATCTTTAACAAGTTCACATGCAACAAATTTATGTCATTTATCCGATAAAGATTTTCGTTCATATGTAACAACAATTCAAGATGCATTTTTATCTCGTGCATCACCACAACTTGCATTACAATTAGCAACTAAATTTCGTTTAATATCTTATAATTTAGTTATTTTCTCTTATGCACATCGTTTATATTTAAATCTTTTAATACCATCTGATATTCGTACACGTTTTGATCAACTTCCACAAATAAATAATACAGGTAAATTTAATAAAAAACGTTTAACAAATGTTTTACGAACAATGTCAATAACATCAGCGAATGATGAACAAACAAATACAGTTGATGATCAAAAACAAAAATTAATCGATCGTCTTTCATCACGAACATTAAATGATGATCGGTTAATATCAATAATTAATACATTATTTAAAATTAGTCGACTTTTTCGTATTGATTCATCTTCTTTATTAAATACAAATGCTCATAATGATGAATGGAATCTTTTAAAACGTATTCTTTCATATCCATCATCATCATTTCCAACAAAAATTAAATTGGCAGAATGTTTAGCTAAACAATTAAGAATATCAAATCAACAACTAGTTGAATTAATTGTTGATCAAACTGATAAAACTTTAGAACGTTGTCAGAAAAATGATCCAACTGATGATTATCATCATTGGCCATTTGATCCAAATAATATTGAATCATATCGACAATTTATTTCACTATTATATGAAAAAAACTATGATGCTATTGGAAAACAACTTGTTGAAAAATCACAATTGTATGAAGATCAATTTCTGGAATTAGATTCACAAGGTTAGTTTAAATTATATTTTCAAAAAACAAAACAAGAACTTTTTTATCTTTATACTAATCAAATTCGATAACTATTGAAACTGTTTCCATGAGATACTTAAGTTTCTGATAAAGCTCTATTGGTGTAGATTTCTAATTATTTATTTTTTCTTAATAGATGTTTCATCACCATTACTCCGTCTTCGTATTGAATTACTAATTTATGCTCATACATGTTTTATTAATTCATGTCATATGGAAGGAATATGTTTAGTACTTGATCATGCTCGTCATATAGCAATTTTACTCAATGATTTAAATGGTTATACATTACTAATACGTTTATTAATGGGTTTACAACAGTATTCAGAAATGATTTATATATTTGACATATTATTTCAATCTGATCATTTTGATTTATTATTATCAACAATAAGTAACATGCATGATGAACGTTTAAATACAGCATTATTTGATTATATAAAACGACATCATCCAAATGATGAACATACATTTACATCAATATCAATGAATTTAAATATGCACCATGAACTAGCAATAATGTATCGTGATGCAGGAGAAAAATTACTAAAAACATTCCAATATAATCAACAAACATCATCAGCTGATCTATCAGTTACATTACAAAGTTTACTTCAATATTATTCGGATGCAGCTGATACATTTTATTTAGCTGGATGTTGTCGTCAAAGTGAACAATGTTTAAAACAAGCACGTCTTATATCATTACAACTTGAATTAATGCAAAAACAACCCATAACTATTATATTAAATTTAAATTCAAAACAAATCTATGAATTATTACCACGTTTTGAACATTGTTGGCATGCATTTATTATAGCTGATGCTTATAATGAGCATACATTATGGTCACATTGTTTAACTGAACAATTTATTTGTAATAAAACTTCAAATGCAATGAAATATTGGGAAGAATTTCAACAACTAATATTAATTGATGATCAACTAATATTAACAATAGGAAAACATTTATTAAAAAAACATTTTAATACAATATCAAGTAAAAATTTTCAAGAAATAATTTCATATATAACAGATTCAAATATTCTTAATCGTTTACAACAAATATTAACAACCAGTGATAGTAATTATTCAAATTTATTTACATCTATTGATTCACCATATCTTCTTGATATAATTCGTGTTGCATAATAAAAAATTCTTTTTTCTTCTTTTTCTGATACATTTATTTTCTTTTTCTTTTGTAATTTTTATATCGGTGATTTTCTTTTTTTTTCTTGATTTAATCAGTAATATAACTGTTGAAAAATTTGAGAGATTTCATATAACATAATAGTATATATTGATTAAGTTTTTTTTTTATCGAATAAATATAGGAGAATAAATTCATACTTTGATTGTATTAATTTGTGATTTGGATCATGAACAAACTATTCTGTTGTTTTGTTTATATTTTTTATTACAAGGTAGATTGATTAATTTCGTTGAAAAAAATATATCATAAGAGAGAAAGTATACTCTATTTTGCGTCATAATAATAAACATACTCCATTCTTATTTTTTGTATAATGCGACGAAGGACAATGAGATAGTTTTTATAATATATTGTTTACTGTTATGAAGGTTGATATCTTATGATCATAAACAACAGACAACAAAGTCAACGTTGACTATAAAACTGGAAATAAATTATATCACATATTTTTATATGCCGAAAAAAAGAAACGAGTGCATCCAAACTAAATGAGAATTTAATCTAGCATTTATCTTCATTATTTTCTAACAAATAAAAGAAATATTCAGAAAATTTTTGTTAAAAATAAGATTGTCTAAAGTGTCTTACTTTGAAAGTAAAGCTGATAACAGATAATAAATCATCAGTGTGCTTTCAACATATCATAGTTTGAATTTTCGCTTTCAATAATATAAATTTGATTTTATTCTGCTAGAATCGTGAATGTTGAGAATTTTATATAAATCTCAAAGGCTTATTTCGGAATTGAGCTTCGCATCGCATTTCGCTAGCTCAAGAGGAAAATATTACAATAATTCACAAAAAAGGCAGAATTTGAAAAAAAAAATATCTCTTATTATTATCGTGTTATTATTATTATTCTTTTGAATCGACCAATAGAACAGCTATTATGTGAAATAGTAGATAGGTAAAAGATAAATATTTTCAACTGAAAATCACTTCTTGTTTCTCATACAATATCTATTTTATTTTATTTTATTTTTTCTGCATAAAATACTTTTATAAATTTAGATATACAAGCTATTTCTTCTTAGTCATCATCACTTTCACTATCATTATTCGCCTTTTTTGTTCTGTTCTGTTCTTTTCTTTCTACACAACGTGTGCGATTTTGTTTCACTTTTCTTTACCATGAGTATGTGCAAATGTCATGGTTGAATAAATATGATCATTTTAGTCTTTGTTCCTTTTCATATAATATCAAAAAGCTACAGCGATTTCAAACTTATTTTATTCGGCGCATTTATACGATTTAAATATTTATAAACATGAATTAAAATTATTTATTTTATTTCATAGTGAAAATATATTGTCAATATCATATGAAATAAATAGAAGATACTATATTATGACATGAAAACTAAATTTGATTCTAAGTTTATAAAAAACACTGAAATTGCGAAATAAACTCCAAATCTCTTGAAATATTCAAATGAATTAATTTTCGATTTTCTAATTAAGAAAAAAAATTATTGTTCGTAATGTTTCGAGTATATTATTTTCAAAGAATTAATAATTCTTCGGTGAATTCATATGTGCACCCTCGAAATATTCTTCTTTGAACTGTTATTACTTAATTTATACTTTACACTGTATTATCAGGCTTCTTTCTTGTGTTGTCCTTCGATGAAACTTTGTGTTATTAAGACAAAAAAAGAAACAAATAATTTTATTTTTTACTGATGTTTTTTATTGAAACTAGAAAAAAGGAAACAAAAAAAAAGATCGATAAAATATATGGCACTAACTACACGGTTAAATAATATTAATGGTGAAAAAAAACGAAAATGATAAATAAAAAATACGGGGCTAACTACATAAATAAAAAATGTTACTGTTTCATATTTTGTAAGCTGGTAATTGCAAGCCGTTTCTATTTAAAAAAAAACAAAGAAAGATACATTCGAAAACCATATATACATATTAAAATGAGAATCTAAGTAAAACCATTTAAAAAAAATACAATATCAGAACTATTTTATCTTAAATAAATAAATGAAAAGTCTTCAAAAAAATACTTACCAATATTTTGGAGAATCCATTCAAATATATAATTCACTTCACAAAAGTATTAAAAAGATCTACCACTGACTAACAAAAACGAGAAGAGAATAATTCCTCACAACACTGTGTTCAAGTATTTTACACAATTGAAAGTAATATTTGAACAAATTAGGTGATCGATGAGGATGTGACTTATAAACTATTTGCACAAATACTTGATGCAACTATCTTAATCATTGTTCATAGAAATATTACTCATTCACTTGATTATTCAACAAACGACAGATGGATAAGTCATATAAAAGTTGTATACAAGTACTTCTCTTCATTCGAAGAACAATTTATACACTACTTTAACATACAAAGCCAATGATACATGAATAAGTCACAGCAAGAATCTATTATAGTATTTTATTTGGTTCAAACAACGACTGCTAGCACAGTTTAATATTTACAAACAAATGATAGGCGAATAAGTCATAACAAAATTGCGTTCTAGTATTTGTTTTCATTCGAACAAAAATTTCAAGAGCAGTTAAAAATTCACAAACATATGACAGATGAATAAGTCCTAAAACGATTCTGTTCTAGTATTTTACTTCGATGAAAACACAATTGCTAAAACAGTTTAATATTCACGAACAAATGGTAGATGAGTAGTGCACATTACAATTTTGTTCTAGTATATTACTTCCA